TCATTTGTTCAGTTGTGCAGTTAATTTAGGTGCTGAATAGCTAATGGGTTTACAGTTTCAATTAATTGGGAATGTAGTGAGACAATTACTGAGACTATCATTCAGTGTTACACCCATAGGAGACCATCTTCATTCAAAACTTGATATACTCAACAGTAAGTGGTGAAAATCACTTCCAGTTCGTGAATATGCCAGTTGCCTTTCCCCTAGTCGTCTTAAACCTGATTCAATAATTTTACTGCATAAATCATCGTAAACGATAACGGCCACATATTTCACATATTGTATGCAATTAGTTGATTGATTTTTCTATTTACTCAATTTGATTAGTATTCACATGAATGTGAGGTCGAAAAGTTTATCACCATACTCATCAATCTTTATTATAATGTGTTTGTTTTGGAAATGTATTTTAAATAAGGTGAGTGTTTAATTGTAGGGTAACGGTAGGAGATAGAGGACTATGTAAACGAATGTTTTTTATAGTTTGATTTGTAAGGATTAGTTATGTTTTACGAGTTGATCACGGATTGATATCAGTTAGAGAACTGATATGTATCCATATATATATATATATGGTGGTCTCTATTTCTGTTTGCTCGCTTAGTCTGTGACCATTTCACTTTGATGAACCTGTCTCCTTTAACAATGTATATTCCCCTTATATTATATATAATATGAGTGTTTGTTGACAGTCCGTTGCTTGGTGACATATATCCATATTATATGTGTGGCTGTTGACATGTCTGCTATATTTTGCTATGTATATATGGATCGATACTCCATTATAATTAGCCATTCATGTAAAGACTGTCTATTGATTTGTTCACACACTTGTCTGGACACTCATATATATTTCGCTCTCACAATCTTGTGTGACTCTACTTTGGTGTGATACCACTTTTGCATTCTCCTTGTGTTTGGAAAATAGAAGTATCATCGCAAACCTAGTGGTCTTCTGATTTCCGCCTTCTTGCGTCAGGACTATTAAATTCTCGACCAGTACATAACAATAATTTGGCGACGAGTACATAACAATTTGGTGACGGGGAAAACTACTATTAACCACTCAGCAGCGGCAACATAACAAGAACCATTGAAAACCAGGGAGTACTGGACAGCTGTTTCATTCTAGTTTGGGAATCATCGACAGTAAGCACCCACTGGGATTCGAACCCACGACCTTCCGGTTACAAGGCAAGCTGGCTCGCATGCCATTCAGTCACTGGGACCCTATCAACTCGTAAAACAAAACTAACTCCTACAAACCAAACTATAGAAAACTAATCTAATGCTCGCTAGTGACTTGCTACAGGACAGAGTTTCCTGGAGTTCTAGTGAGAAATCGTGACCAGTGAGACCCATCCAGATGTCACGTGTGAGGATGGATGTCCCACCTACGACATTTGCTGGGGTCGCGCTGAATCACGAATTGGGTGGAAGTTAGAATTCATGCACTGGTCATTGAATATGGTCCCACTGGCTGAATGGTATACGAGCCAGCTTTCCTTGTAACCAGGATGTCCTGGGCTCACATCCTGGCAGTGGGTGCGTACTGCGGATGATTCCCAAACTAGGCTGATGAAACAGCAGCTGTCCAGTAGTCCCTGGTTTTCAATGGTTCTCTAACTGATATCAATCGGTGAACAACCCGTAAAATCAAAACGAATGTTTATTGGATATTTGGTATCTCTGTAATTCCAAGTTATGTCCACCTTATCTTCAGAAATCGTCATTTGCACAGATATTCCTTGTTGAGCTACTCCTCTGCCCTCCTTTCGAATTAGGTGTTTCTTTGTCTTCCTTTTCACATCTCCAATGTTTTTCCTCAACGCTGAATCATTTACCCTCTTTGGCTTCAAATCTATCTCTTTAATACTTGATATTTTTGAGTGCTGCAATGAACGTCTCTTTATATACTACTGATAAATCTTATCAGTGACCCACGCAATAATATTTTATCGTTATGCAGATGAATGAAGATTTATTTTTAAACCTTGTGACAAATATACTTGAAACGGGAAATTTTCACTCCTTAATTTACTATACGAAAGACTAAGACTTTAGAAGATGTCAGACGATGTTAGGCTGTTTCTTTTGGTGACACAACGATCAGGATTCTCACCGACCAAGCACATGGTCCGGGATTCGATCCCTTGCCGAAGCACACTTGATATCACTAGTTGACCTGATAAATTTGGTCTACAGATATCACATGCTGGGAATTCCATACCAGTACCAAAAATACGTTGTAGAATCAAGGTATAATCAAAATTTCAAATAATAAATATAATGTATATTAATTATCTATAGTTGGTTTGTCAGGATTAGCTTTGTTGATACGAGTTTAACCACGGATTGATATCAGTTAGAGAACCATTGAAAACCAGCCAAGGAGTACCGCCAGACAGCTGTTTCGTCAACCTAGTTTGGGAACCATCGGCAGTACTCATCCACCACACTGCCAAGGTTCAAATGCAGGAAATCCCGGTTACAAGGCAAGCTGGCTGGTATACCATTCATCCACTTGGACTCAACTCCTCAATGGCCACAGCCCATGAATTCTAGTTTCTACCAACTCGTGAAGCATTTAGCGCAACTAGCCTCAACCAATGTCATCGGTGGGGCATCCATCCTCAAACTTGGATGGATGGACTTCACTGGTCACAACTTTTCACTAGAACTCCAGGACAGGAAACTCCGTCCTGTAAGAAGTCACTAGCGAGCATAGGATTAATTTCTTTTTAAGAGTTGATTTATGAGGATTAGATTTGTTTTTACAAGTTAATCCAGTCAGTTGTGAAGATGGATTTCCCACAGATGACATTTGAATCTTATTTTTCATACTGACTGCTGTTGACCTCCATACAGACTTGCCTTGCTATCCCGATTCTCGCACTTTGATATCCTCGTCTCCACCACCACCCCGAAGAAATACTAACCGACGATAATGTCCGGCACGATTCATTGTGAACTGACAGAAGCTACGATTCATGATCTCTTCGTTTCCATCCCATCAGCTGAATGGTCAACGGGCTAACCTCGTAACCTGAATGTCCCAAGTGCTCCTCTCCACGGGATCATGAGTAAGTACTGTTGAGGAGTCTATTACCAAGATAAAACAACTATCTGGTTTACAGTGGTTCTCTAACTGATGTCATCTAGATTTTAATCTCCTTTAAAAATAGGGAGGTTGTGTTTTAAGGGTTTGAATCAACCATCTTTTTTTAAATAGACCTTACTGAGTCCAAGAAACGCTGATAAACTATCCGGATCCCAATGGAGCATGTTTTGTTAGCTCATTCTTGGGAATTGTCAACCTCCAGCATTTTTTTATGCGTCAGAATAAAATTTGAATAGACAGTTTTCATTTTCGAGAGCTTTTAATGACTAACAACTTACCTGAATTATACTGTAACCAACCACGCATGTGGTCTGGAGTTCTAGGCCTGGTCAACGACGCACTCCTAAACCTCGCTGTTTACTCGTCAGTAAGCCAGGTATAGAGAGAGAAGATTAGGCGTGAGGCTAGCAACCCCACTCAGTAAAAATAAAACCACCCACTGCTACCGAAACTTCAAAGCTAAAGCTTCAAACCCTATGTTCTTCTAGTTACTGTACAATTTATTTTATCGAATTTTAGATTTTCCCTTGCATTGATTGATTGAACGGAAGTGCACGGTCTCAGGTTGACATGTCTGTCGGCTTCTTGTGCAGATGCTTCTACTATGTCTGGGCATGTAATCACAATTTCATTGGTGGATGGTGATTAGCAGTCAAATCCAGAATAAAGCGCATTGAGTCCTATTTTGGACCGGCTCGGCAGCTGGATGAACCTGCATTCCCCAGTGAGTGATGATTTCGGAGCATCTGCACAAGGAAGCGACATGTCAACCTGAGTAGACTCAGCACTTCGATCCAATCAACCAATCGACGGGAAAATCTAAAATTCAATTAAATAATTAATATGACCCGTTGAACAAGAGGTGGAGTGGCTCTTGTGGCCCAAGTTGTGCAGAGGATAACACCTTGGCGTTTGAAACTATTGGCACTGGCTTCGAGCCTATGTGCGGACATCATTACTGACGAGCCAGTCCCAAATAGGACGAAATGCGCCTTATCCCGATGGATTCCACAGCTAGTCACCATCCACCAATTGAATTCTACCTATACAATTTACTTTCAGGATAAACGTAATCCTTACAATTAAGGGGTATCACTTGCGAATTCAGGTTACTCTTAAGCGCTAAAGATGTTGTGTGGCAGCAAGTCAATGAAAACTTCACAAATAAATCCTAGCCTAGTTCAGAGAACACACTCACATCAAAATATAATATCTATGCCATCCGCATAATGAATAACATTCAATTTTTAACGTAATGTAAAGGAATCTTTATTAACCATCCATGTTGGTAATAAATAATACAGAAGTGAAAGAATCGTTGAAAGAATACAATGTGAATTGGGGTCAGTTGGTCGTCAGTCAACCACCTTCTTATACAGAAAGTGTTAACAGTTCAAGCGAAATAGGAGGGAGAAGTAAAAGAAAACAAAAATGAACGAAGATAAGATTATTCAAGGGAATATAATATAAATAGGACTAAACAATTCAAGGTTAAAATACACGCTCACGCACTCATGCACTCACACACACCCACACACAATCATTTATTATATTATTATTATTATAAATAACTACATTTAAAAACATGTGATCGATATTACTAGATTAAACAGGGTAGGAAGAATTATTATTATTTTTGGGCATGAGAAAGCGCAGTCAGTCATTCAGGCAGATAGGCAGGCAGTCAATCAACCAATCGATGAATAAATCACGTGATAATGATACAATCGATTTAAATTAAACTAATAGTACGGACTGTTCAACAGGAAAAGGATTTTGGTATGTGATGGATGATTGGTATTATCGCTGTTGCAGTTGCTTGCTATTACGGCATGCATTTCGTAGAGTATGTTACAAAAAGAAGATTGAATCCAGCTTATTCAGATGTCATTAGTTTGTAGAATTCTAAAAGAAGAGAAAAGAGAAATAACAATAATAAAATAAAAAATATTTGTAAAAGACTGGGATTAATGAAGAAAGAATATTCTTTTCGATAACTTCGTCTTCTTCAGCAGGCTGTACAGTTATTTGTTCGTAATGATAATTTCAAAAAACTATTGGTTACAGGATTTCATCATGAGCCGTTGGGAAGCCAGCACTGGAGTACTAGACAACCAGACGTTTCGTCAGGCTAATTTGGGACTCTTCAATAGTTTGCACCCACCGGGTTCCGGACCCAGGACATTCTTGTTACAAGGCGACCTAGCTCATAGGTCAGTCTGTCACTGGGACACGATCCAATGGCAAGCCCATGAATTCCAAATTCTGCCAGTTCATGACAGCAGGATACAGCAAGTCGAGTGTGAGAACAGATACTCTCCGAAGACATTGTTTAGTGATCGTGTTATGTCCTAAATGGGCGGAAGCTGGAATTCATGGTCTGGTCATTGGGTCGGCTGGCGCGTACTGATGAAGAGTCCCAAACTAGGTTGGAGAAACAACTGGCCGTCCAGTGCTAGTGTTCCAATGGTTCTGTAACTTATGTCATCTCATGATGCAATCCTGTAACCAATCAAATCCCTACAAACCAGTACTTGAAAGAAATTATTGTTATTAACAACATTAATTTTTGAACAATGACATTGATACAATAATAGCGTTGGATTACAGTTCAAAGGCCTAGGTTGGGTGAGAACGGTTCCCCAGAACCATTCATCGATAAGTATTTGAAACAAAAGTCAAGGCAGACAAAAGTAACAACAGTTTCGAATGGAGGAAAGCCTTGTTCTTACAACTTCACCTCCTTGTGGATAACATCAGTGAGATATTTACACAACGCTTAAGGAATACGGTGGTAAAAAGAGCATTCAATAATCTTGAAATATGCGGTGTCTTCAAAACCATCCACCTGTTTCGCTTTCGGGAGTCATTAAAGGTAAAATGCCTGATTTCGCCTCTTCTGTGTCTATCTATCACAATGTGGCTGCTCCTGTGGAGTGAGGCAGTTAGTCACAGAAGATGTACAGTAAGGCATGTTTATCGACGGATTTCTGAACACCATCCTGCTTAGTAGTCAGGTTAGGGATAAATAAATTCCATTCATTAGTTTTATTCTGTCTCATCTCGTAGATACAGAATACAAGACTGATGTAAACAAGACTGCTTTCAATGTCATCTACCGCATACCAATGAATCTTAATTTTACCTTAAGAGTTCATCTACTACATATCACTGAGGCTGTCTGTTGGAATCCACTTTAACTAAGAAACCAAATCTATGTATCCAAAAAAAGAAGTTGGTTCAGACGCTTGCCTTATCCCCTTGTTCATCAAGGTTTTAATGATCCTTAATTTGTTGTAGAGGTTTCCTCGATGTCAACTGATATTCTATTTACTATTACATTTTTATGCTTATTATAACTTATACATCCTTCTTGAAGTGTGGTAGTTCCACTGTAATCTTAACAAATCGTTAACATTTAAAACAAAACGCGAGTATTGTTAATAACAATTATTCTACAATATTCTGTGTATATAAATGCATGTAAATATAGTGCTAGAGCCACAGGAGGAAATTATCCAAAAGAATATTCTTTGCTCGGATTTTCGTTCGCTTCTGTAAGTGGTAATATGCATCGATATAACACTGAACTGAATAACAGGAAAATTAAGATTTTATATGTTCTACAGCAGACTGTTGTAGTTATCAACGGTGAATGGACCTGTTTCGTTTCCACATAGAGTTCCAGTTGTTTCAAGCAAAGTACAATGGTTTTCTCTGTTGATTGAAGTATTCGGTACTACTACTGGCTTTATGGCCATTTATCTATCAGGTAGCAAATAAATTACTAAAAGCCTCTGGGTACCAGACACTCCAAACAAAGTCCAGAGCCCTATGTGGGAAATAAATAGGATCAGCCACTAATGCTACCTACCATGGTCTGCTGTGAAAACATGTAAATTCATAAATTCCATATTTCTTTCCCTAACTTATCTAATATTCATTTTAGTTTTCTATAATTGGTTTGTAAAGGTTAGTTTTGTTTCTACGAGTTGATCATGGATTGATATCAGTTAGAGGATCATTGAAAACCACCACTGGAGTACTGCCAGACAGCTGTTTCATCCTACACTTTTTTGGGAATCATTGACAGTACGCGCCTACCTCACTGGCAGGGTTTCAACCCAGGACATTCCGGTTAAAACGCAAGCTGACTCATATACCATTTAGTCATTGGGACCCAACTCCTCAATGGCCACAGCCTATGAATTCTAACTTCTACCGATTCGTGATCTAGCGTGACCCCAACCAATGTCGTGATCAACTCGTAGAAACAAAAATAACCCTTACAAACAAAACTAATCTCATGCTAGCTAATGACTTGTTACAGGACGGAGTTTCCTGTCCTGGAGTTCTAGTGAAACGTTGTGACCAGTGAAGTCCATCCAGTCAAGTTTGAGGATGGATGCCCCACCGATGACATTGGTTGGTGCTAGTCGCGCTAAATGCTTCACGAATTGGTAGAAACTAGAATTCATGGGCTGTGGCCATTGAGGAGTTGAGTCCCAATGACTAAATGGTATACGAGTCAGCTTGCGTTTTAACCGGAATGTCCTGTGTGGGAACCCTGGCAGTGTGGTGGTTGCGTACTGCTGATGATTCCCAAACTAAGATTTATTTTATTGTTATATTTATGCGTATTATCCACAACGGGAAAATTCAGCGAATACAGGAGTAGGACAGGACTGGCTGTCTATTATCACCAATGTTAGGTCCTGCAAAACCTGAATAACATTTTTAAAGTATTGAAATGATGGGTGAATATATTCTCTTCTACAGATTATTTCAACCATTACTGTTATGATCAGCATTGAGATTTAGTTATGTTATCTCATATTTCGTCAGTCACACTGATTGAATAGGTTATATAATTTAAGGGAGCCTGAGTCAGTAGGGCATATCTTTAAACATCGTAATTGATGATGGGCACTCTTAAATTCATGTAACAAATTTACTAAAGGAATTTTGTCAGACTGTGAGCATTCACTTTACCCACAGCTGTCACCCTTTTGCATCTCCTCAGGTAGAAGAAGAAGAAGTCATTTTAAAAGAATTTACGCGCACACATTTAAGTATCAAAATTCCATGATACCATATTTGGCGGCACGTATTTTATGTGATGAAAATAGTGTCAAGCACGAAGTAACTAGCCAATTAACCTTCTTTCCACTAGTAAATAAACAATTCCCCTCCCCCCCCCTTATACCATCAACCTTTATTGTTGTTATTCTTCTCATATTTATAGCCGTCTCATATTTTTTTGTTTCTTTTCTCACAAGTGTAAACACCATTTGAGCTTTGTAATAATTGTTTTTTTGTTTTTCCTCTCATCATGCTATCTCAAGAGGACATTAGATTCAATCCTCTATAACATGCTGAAATTTCCAATCTGAATCGACGATGGTGTTTGAAACAAACCTACTGTTATTATTACCATTATTATTAGAGTTATTATTCTCATTTTGTAATTTGCACATTTTTAACATTATTCCTACTGTAAATGTGGAGAAATTCTTGTGGTTAATTTTATTTATGATGTTTTGAGTAAGTTAGATGCAAGGTGTTGTGACAAATGCTGAGAATTCCATGATGTGTATTATAAGTACTGCCGTTTTTGGAATAAAGCAGATTATTGAAATAATAGAAAAGATTTGTAATTCAGGTGGATGATTTGCAATTGATAGTGTTCTCTGAGCTCCTTGGTTTAATTGCGGAGCTTTCATCGTCTTTCTGGGCGACATCTTCAGCACAGTATTTAGGATAAAGTGAAATGATTTAAATTTCTTCATGAGTCTCCCGGTAACCATCTTTAGATATTTATTGACCGTTTTCTATTGATTGGGATTTAAAACTTTCTGATCACCTGATTTACTTCTTATTAGTTGGTATATTTCATCTATATTAACGTGTTTATTAATTGCGTTTTCATTTGAGTACCAGGCTTCTAGGAATTCTCCGGCACATTTGGTGTTTCCTCTGTTTAAGATTTTGACATTATCCCAATCAAATTGATGTCCATGATCGTCTGAATGTATTGATACTAAAGAATTTATATCATGTCTTTTCACGGCTGATTTGTGTTCCTGGATTCTTATTCGAAGGGGACGCCCACTTTGGCCGATGTAATGTTTGTTACAGTTCACACAATTTATTTTGTAAATGGTGTTAATTTTATCTCCCTTTTCTATCGGATCTTTTGGTTTGCATAAGATGGAATTAAGCGATTCATTTAAATCATTTCACTTTATCCTAAATACTGCGCTGAAGATGTCGTCCAGAAAGACGATGAAAGCTCCACAATTAAACCAAGGAGCTCAGAGAACACTATCAATTGCAAAGCAGATTATTATTTTTATTAATAATATTATGCATAAAATGGGCCGAGAAATTTTTGTTATTTCTGCTCAGTAAAGATGACGAATGCTTAGCTGACCCCTTGACCTGCTTTTTATGATCACGAAGATTAACATGTTGTTCAGAAGGTTAGAAGTAGACGAAAATGTCAATCAACTCAAAGACAAATATTATCGTAGGTTATTGAGGAATGAATTCTGATACTTATCACGTCAAATTTTTACAATCACTACTGGTTATATTCATAATGTATTCAGTTACACTTAAAAAAAACTTACCATCGAAATCGACGAAGCCAGATCCATCAGTGTCAGTATCTCTGATCATATCATCGATTTCCTCTTCAGTCAGATCGTCTCCAAGACCTTTCAAAATCCATCTAAAAATCAAATATTTAGAGCACGTTTTAGCTTTTTACGAGAAGCTACTCATGAGTAGTCTGAAAATATAACCAAAATAATAGGATCAAATAAAGTAAATTGGACTGATCTAGTTTTTTAAAGATTGTCTACTTCATATACAATATTGTTGAGATCGTTTTAGTAAAAGCTAAGCACCCACTCTGTTGTTCAGCGGACACCATAGATAGTGAGATAGGAAACTCTTGAATTATTGTGTCAGTTTCACAAGGGGAAATAGTCATCAGTAATATGAATATATTTAAATAAGTAAGATGGACAGTTTGGTGTTTGTTTGGTGAAATCTGACTTATTTTAGGTTGAGTCTCTCCCCACATATATCCACTCTGATTGGTAACTAAGGCGGTGGGGGGGGGACACTACCTCGTTGTTTAAGCCAACATCCATCAACTTCAGAGATATAACGTGGAGAATGATTTGAAAACATAATATGAGAACACTCACCTTAAATCTTCAACATCGATTTCACCACGTTTATTTTTATCCAACACTCGGAAAGCATCTCTCAGATCTCTTTCATCTTGATCTTCTTGAAGTTTTTTTCCGTAACATATCAGAAATCCATTAAAGTCAATGAATCCAGTAGCTGAAATTAGTTGTTGTAGTTGTTTAAATTAAAAAAAGTAAAGGAAATTGACAATTGAATAGATCGTATGAAATTGTACAAGTGAAAAAATCGATATTTAAACGCTTAGATGACAAAAGGATGAAGTTAAACTGCCATGGCTAAAACTGCATTGACCTTGAACGACCAATCCGGATCCAGATTGCAAAAAAGTCACATGATCTTCAAGTATTGGTTTGTAGGGATTTGATTGATTGGTTACAGGATTTCATCATGAGCTGACATTGTATAGAGAACCATTGGAAAACCTGGGAGTACTGGACAGCTGTTTCGTCCTAATCTGGTACTCCTCATCAGTACGCACTTACCGGGGTTCGAACCCAGGACCTTCTGGTTACAAGGCGAGCTCGTATACCATTAAGCCACTGGGACCTGATCCAATCGCCAGCTAATGAATTCTAACTTCTGCTAATTCACGGCATAGCGTGATCACTAGCTAATGTCTTCGGTGGTGAGTATTTGTCCTCACACCCAACCTGCTGCACCCTACTGGTGACGACTTCCCACTAGAACCCCAGGTAACTACCTACCTGAATAGGACCAGTCACCAGTGAGCATCTAATTGGTATTCAAGTATTGGTTTGTAGGGATTTGGTTGATTAATAATAGGATTTCATCATGAGCTGACATCGGTTAGAAAACCATTGGAAAACAGCTGTCCAGTACTCCCAGGTTTTCCAATGGTTCTCTAACCAATGTCAACACATGATGAAATCCTGTAACCAAGTCACATGATCGTTGAAAATTACACTTGAATATATTAGTCATAATAATAGTAATAATACTAGTAATAATAATAATTGTTATTATTATAATGGTTTTATCAGTAATAAGGGTGAAAAAGTGAGGCAATCTGTGATAACACGAATAATGAAAAACAGCGGGATTAAACAAATAGATGTTCAGATGGAATTAGTCGATAAAGGCTAGTAAAAACAAATGAACCAATTAAGGAATATTAGATTGTAAGGGAAGGAAATGAAACACGTTTATAATGAAGATGTGATAAGATTAAGGGATGATAAGAAAAGGGTTGAAAATATAAACAAGGAGTGGTGTAGAAGTCATTAGTTGGTTATGTCTTAATAGGCCAGCAAGGGAAGGATAATGGCTGTTTACGAACTTATTTTGAATGTATAGTTTAGGTTTAATAGTTCTAATGCCTATCACCTGCCTCAGTTGTGTGCAGTAGACGAATACAAAGTCTATTGGAAAGATTCGGTGGGATACGATGAATTACTATGAAAGCTCTCGTTTTCTCCACTACATGACCACTATCAATTAAATGTGATAAAATTGAGCTACGGATTGTTTTTGTCTGTCCTTTGCCAAACCACGATGGGAGGTATTCAGCAGTGAGATGTTGGCTAAGCTGTCTAGTAGTACGCCCAACATAACTGTCATCGCAGGTTCAGTTGAATTGATGAATGCACACCGATGTGGCAAAACTATCTAGGTTATTCTTCGTTTGCGTCTGAATCATTCGTCGGCCAGAGAATGACATAGATAGATGCGCTGCGTAAAACGTTCTCCGTGTACTCCTGGATAGTCTCTGGAACAAAGTCTCACTTTGATAAGTCACCATTAAATTGTAACTTAATAAATAGAGGCTTTTTTTTGTGCAGTCAGAGTCTTAGGTTTTTTCTCTGATGTTTTCATCCTTATTATTGATAAAACCATTATTATTATTATTGGTATTGTCATTACTAGTATTATAACTAACTGCACAATTTATATTCACCATCTTATTATCCAAACACAAGATACCGTGATTGGTTTATATTTGTAACTTAAATATATTGCAAAAATGGCATTACAAGGTGCACTTGTAGCTTCTGTGTATGTATGTGTGTGTAGTAAGAATGTCTTTCTGTCACCACACAGATGATCTATAGACAAATCGTACCATGCCTGATGTACGCATCCATCTAGGTGACTGTAGGTCATGGGACTTGAAGATCTTCAACCTACTTCTAATTCTAACCATAATCCTGATTCCTAGACCGTAAACCTTAAGCTATAGAGACAATAACCCTAACAAACAGTATAAATTTGCACAAAATTGCACAAATACTCAGGAAATAAGTAGAATACCGTATCTACCGTCTCCAAGTCCAAAAAGGTCAGACATGATTTGATTTGGAATAATATTTCATAGCATTCCCTGTGTCTAATCGGCTCTTCAAAGTTAGTTTTTCAAAGACTTTGACTTTGGTTATGATACTTTAACTTCGTCGACAAAAGGATTGAGTGAAGAAATACTTCTCGTTTAGATCATCATTTGTGTCTCTACTCTAGCCATTTTAACACGATACAGAAAATTAACCAAGCCAGTTATGACATGTTTGTTAATAAATAATTGGTCAGTGTATTAACATATCAAGCGGGTGATCACTAACCAAGACAATTAAAACAAACAATCAAAGGACAGAAAAAAAAACAAAAAAACAAGTGGATCGCATAAGGCATAATTTTGGAAAAATTAAGGAGCAATCAAGAAATAAATGAGTGCTCGAATGGATTATGTATGTAATAAGCAGTTAGATATGAAGTAGTCAGGATGGCAAAATAATTACGACATTTTTGACCATGGATTAATATCAGCTACAGAATAATTGAAAACTACCATTGGAGTACTGGACAGATGTTTCGTCCTAGTTGGGGACTCATCACAGTATGCACCCACTACGGGGGTTTGAAGCCAGCCGTCCAGTACTCCCTGATTTTCATTGGTTCTCTAACTGATAACAATGCATAGTCAAACTTGAAAACATTACGACAATTCTAGGTTGAAGATGGCCTAGGGGAGAGGGAAACTGTCAGTTTGTAACACTCATATAGCGATGGTTAAGGTAAGGAAAGTGGGCTGTATAAACACTTCTTCTGAACATACAGGTCTGGCTTCTTCAGTTGAATCCCACTGAATTCAGCTGTAGGTATGTAGAAAATGAACTCGTAAAGCAAATTTTATCCATAATGGAGAGGTGTTATATACTCTACCACAGTGCCCAATTTTTATCCTTATATTTATTATCTAAATTACGATTAGTAGGAATGTGATAAATAGCTTTCAATGCTGTATTAACATGAGTTTTATGCTCACTATCTAGAAGATATGCTAAAGAGAGCTACGAATTGATCTTGTTTTATTCGAAAACCCGGTGAAAAACCAGCCTGGTTTTACACCCAATGTAACTAGCTCCACAGGAACAGTCACACGGATAGATAAGCATTGAAGAGGAGAAATTAAGTAGTTTATGCTTGTTTATCGAAAGTAAAACTGAAGTGGTTGTGAAGAAATGGCGAATTTTTGCTGTACTGAACACCACTTTAACTTCGTTCTTCAAACCCTATGTTACTATTTCGCTGTTGTGTTATCACCTAGAAATAACAGTTTTATGGAAAAAGACTTCTTTGAAACTGTTGCCGTGTTGATTTATCTTGGCGCTAAATTCATATTTTTATCAGTTCATCCGGATAACTATATTTTCTCGGTAATTTTCTGGTAATCTTAAGCTCTTCAATAGGAGAGTAGTTTGAGAAGATTATCGTAGCTCTGTGCACTAAACACTTAGTTTTTTATAGTGAGTGTTAGGAAGGCTGAAAATTAGTTTTAACATAAATGGCCATGTAAAATTTCATGAAGTACAACGGTGTTGTTGCCTTGTAACTAACTGACTAACTCTAACTTCAAGTTCGTCACTGGTAAATTGGTGGTAAATGCCAACTGATAGTGTATCTTGATGAAGTTTAGTTTTCAACTGGAAAAATCTGAAAGGTACTTTATAGGTGATTTGACTAATGAGTGCTGCAAAAGACGAAAGCCAGATATACTTTTTTTAATTGTTTATTGCCTACGCATTCAAGTTATTCGTGTGTATAAATGTTTTTTTACCCCACTGGTACTTTTTGTAAAATGATAACAACTGTGTTTTAAATTACCTATTTTTTCAACAACCCAGTGCAGTAATTGATTACCACTTTAAGCTGAAGAAGGCCAACTATTTTTTTTGGTCTAACTGAATAATCGATACTATTTTTTGATTGGTTCACTTAAGACGGTCATATATGTTTTGTATGTGCTATCCATTAGTACTAATAGCCAATCAGAATAAAGGATAAGAAAGAAAGATGGTTAAAATCAATAATGTAGACAAAATACACAATCTCCATATATATCTTATTAAGTTGGCATTTTCTTCTGTTTACTGAGAATATTGTGAAAAGTAGTTATCAGATTGAACTAAAGTGCAAGCATCTTTTTTTTTTAAAAAGGTACAGTTTTTGTGTAAAAAAACAACACATAAATTAAATCTATCAGGCAGCTGGAAATTTGTTAACGACAACAATTTGTACCACACTCTTCAAACAGATAAAAGGTCTGGTCACTAGTTGTAATGGAGAAGATGTGTAATTCAGGTAGATGATGGTTTAATTGTGAAGCTTTCACACTGGGAAGTCGAGGCATTGAATATGACGCCTTCCAAGGCTAATGCAAGCTTCCCAGTTAAACCACCCAGCTTAGAGAATTTAAAAACACCAAGAATTTGTGCCGCTGTTTGGGTATAACGAGATTTACATGCATATAGCAAGCACAGTTTGAGTTCTTCTGTGTAACTAGATTTTAACAACTACCATGACGGCATATACTACTTTTTTCTGATAAGAAGCAGTACACCGTCTACAATGGAAAGTCCTCCGCTACCTCGCTTACTTTAGCTGGTGTTCCTCAAGGTGCTGTTCTTTCTCCTTTTCTGTTTTCTTTTTTCTTGCATGACTTGCCCCATTCTGATGTAGCCACTTTTGTTAAGTAGGCTGATGACCTCTCGGTTTCTATGCCTGTCAACTCTCAGTCAGATTGTTCCAAATTAAATAACTTTCTATCGGAAATTAGTCAGTGGTCCTCTTCAAACGGTCTTAAGCTGAATCCGTCTAAATGTTAGGTAGTCAATTTCACTCACTTTCAGACGAAAACGTGACCTACAACAACTAGCTAGCTCACATGGCCCCACTATTATTGGTGGCATAGAGGTTGAAAATACATCTAATGTCAAGCACCTTGGGCTGAGTTTTTCCACCGATCTTTCCTGGTCCTCCCACGTCTTGCTAGTCACTAGAAAGATGTTTTGCTCAACGTTCTACGTTAGGAAATTTAGGCAGTCTGGCATTAAGCAGTCTTTGCTTTCTCAGTTTGTCAATTCTTGTATTCTACCCATCCCCTTTTACTGATCCCCATTAATCTTTCCTGGACTACTTAAGAAAGACTTTGCTTTGCTGAGGAGGGCAGGCACTAAAAGCCGTTAGTAGGGCAAGTGGGATATCTTTAAACCAACTGGTTCACACTATTGTAGATAGACATATTATGTCATGTAAGAAACTAGCGAATACAATATTGTCAGACCCCGAGCATCCTCTCTATACGCAGCTGTCTCCTTGCATTTCATCTTGGAGAACTAGAAGCAGCTATAGGAGGCTATATGCTAGGACTACCAAGTACAAAAACTTCACAATACCTTATCTGGCACAGCTGTTATGTGATGAGAAATCCGTTAGGTATGACACGATAAACTTACTGCGGCACTCTAACAAATAGTTCCACTAGTTTTTGTTTTCCTATCCTCGTTACTATTACACTATTGTTGTTCACATCTTCTATTACACACTAATTTTATATCTCGATATCCTGTGGTGCATTGTTTAAAAAGTAAACGCAACGCTGTTCTTTTTATTCATCTATTTTTTGGATGTTGCTTTTTGATTTTAAAAATTTTATAAAATTTATGAGGTAATTAGATGTAATATATTGTAATGCACGCTGAAAATTCCATACCTGTACCACAAATACTGTTATTATCATTATTTTTGGGTGGTATAAGTAGTTGGAAACCAACCATTTAGACGGTGGGACAGCAGTTAGGACTCTCGCCGAACTAAGGGTATCAGAAGAAGACGAAGTCAAGGGTTCATTCAAAGAAACAACCAAAAATTAAAACACGCACACACAAAACAAACGCATCCTATGATATAACCATTAAAATTGAACATTGCACAATGAAATCTCTTTAAAAAAAAACTCTTACCATCATCATCAACTTGATCAGCCCATTCTTTCAAGGTGTCTGGTTTAACTGTCAAGTTAAGTGCACGAAAAGCTGGACCTAAATCAGTAGTGCTGATTTTCTCTTGTCCTCTTTTATCGAAACGTTTAAAAACATCTTTAGCAACTAAAATTACAAAGACAAAGGAAGGAAGTAAATAAGTGAGGAAAATTAATTTTTAAATGTGTGATTTGATTGATTAAATGTGACACAGGAATGTACAGTGTGTATTCTTCGGATACGGATAGTGTTAGGAAGAGGCAAAACACATGCAATTATCAAGTTATTATCATGTCGTTGAGATGCATTTGTTTCTGCTTTCTGATTGGACGCTTGCACAATCCCAAACTCTCAACCGGATTGGTTGATTTCCAGTCTACCTTATTTTTGTATAAATACAGTCACTTTTGTCATAAATAAAGATTCTGGTTTTACCGCTGATTATCGCGTGTTCTGCTTTACCAGTTAAGTGGGCACTGGTCAGTAGTTAAGCAGTTACCTCGTGACAAAGATCTAGCATCATAACAATTGGCGACGGGGTTTCGAATCCATTGCAGTTCAATACAGTCAAATAAAAACCAGATCATCCAGTGTACATCCAGCCTGTCTTCCAAATGACAATTTCATTTGAACAAATGCAACTTCTCCTTCATCAACAACAGCAACAGTTTGAAGCTTGCCAGCTCAGCTTGATTGAAAAACTTACAAAGCAGTTTTCAATTCAAAATCTCGCAGTTCCAACTCAGAGAAAACCGAATCTATTGGGAGTTCAATTGTAGAGTTCAATTTCGAACCTTCAACAGGCGTGACGTTTGAAGCTTGGTTTCGACGTTATGAAGATCTGTTCCGGGTTGAATGCGCTCACCTAGATGATTCGGCCAAAGTGAGACTACTCCTTCGGAAACTTGGTCCAGCCGAACATAACAAATATGTCAATCATATTCTACCAAAGAACTCCAGAGAACTCAACTTTGAAGAAACCGTTCAAACGTTAACCAATATTTTCGGTGAACAGTTATCTCTCTTCAGTATCCGTTACAATTGTTTCAAGATATCCAAAGATCCAGGAGATGATATTCTCACCTATGCTGGTAAGGTGAATCGTGAATGCGAGCGATCGAAAATTCGATCACTTACGGATGACCAGTTTAAATGCCTGATCTTTGTCTGCGGTCTCAAATCTTCAGTTGACAGTGATATTCGTACCCGAATCCTTGCAGAGATTGAACGCAAACCGGACATGACTTTACAGGAGGTAACTGCTGAGTGCCAGCGAATCATCAATCTAAAGCATGACACGAAGTTGATTGAGGACGGTCAAGTTCATGAATTTACTTCTGTTCAGGCTGTCAAGTCAAACAATTCTCTGCAAGTCAAACACAAGCCTCCCACAAATTGTTGGTTTTGTGGATCGTGGCATTTTGGTAAATTTTGCCCGTATAAAAGACATAAATGCAGTATCTGTAACAAGTATGGTCACAAGGAAGGATTTTGTCCCCCAGTGAAACCTAGATCAATCCGATCTCACAATACGATGGCACAGTCACGAAAGTTTCGATCTCGGTCGACGAAACCTCAAATCAGCAGTATGTTCGCTACCTTCAAAGTTGACTTCGAGTCAAAAAGAAAGTTTGTCACACTTTCTATCAACCAGAAGCCAGTTCGACTACAGTTAGATACTGCTTCTGATATCATAATCTTATCTCCCCAGACGTGGCGGGCACTCGGGTGTCCACCTTATCAGAGAACGGAGCATACTGCAAGAAACGCGTCGGGTGACGTAATGAAATTATCTGGCCAGATTGAATGCGACGTAACTTTCCGGTCGACCTCGTTCCAAGGAACATGCTACATCACCAATCGTCATGATTTGAACTTGCTTGGTATTGACTGGATCGAAAAGATGAAACTCTGGGATGTCCCACTGAACTCAGTTTGTTCCAATGTACAGTGCTCAGATAGTCCTACCAACATGTTGATGCATCCGAACTCGACCGCAAAGGAGGACGCTGTGATCGCCGGCGTTTCTGTCGATGAAGACGTGTGCCACGTATTGATGACGGCAATAAACACTTTACCTGTCTCAGCCGACATGGTTCAACGAGAGACGCAGCGTGACCCGACATTACAGTCAGTTCAACAGTATCTGCGTTGTGGCTGGCCCTCGCGTATTGATTGTCCAGATTTAAAACAGTTCTATCAACGACGACATTCGTTATCCCTGGTCAATGACTGCATTATGTTTGGCGAACGTGTGGTCGTGCCTCGAAGTCTCCAACAAAAAGTCATGAGTCAACTACATTTTACGCATCCTGGTATTGGCCGTATGAAATCGTTGGCACGCTGTTACGTCTACTGGCCAAATATCGATCGTGAATTAGAAGCGATGGTTCGCTCATGTTCTCGCTGTGCTCAGGCTTTGAAAATGCCTATCAAGACAGACCTACAGCCGTGGCCCAACCCAGGAAAACCGTGGTCAAGAATCCACATAGATTTTGCCGGCCCAATCAATGGCAAACAGTTTCTCGTGGTAATCGACGCGTATTCCAAGTGGCCGGAGGTTTTCATTATGCAAAATACCACAGTGACGATAACATTAAATAAGTTGGTTCAGCTTTTCAGCAGATTTGGTGTTCCAGAGATCATCGTTTCCGATAACGGACCTCAGTTTACAGCTGAACAATTCAAACAGTTTTGTGAGCGGCTAGGTGTTCAGCATATTCGCAGCCCGCCTTACCATCCTCAGTCAAATGGACAAGCAGAGCGTTTTGTTGATACACTCAAGCGCGCACTTCAGAAGTCAAACGGGGAGGGATCGATAGAGGATGTATTGCACAATTTCCTCTTCATTTATCGAACCACAACCAACCCATCATGCCCAAATCAAACATCTCCCGCAGAAGTTATGTTTGGAAGAAGACTACGTACTACTTTGGATACAATTATCCCGATCCCATCAAGACGGAGCAAATGTGGTCGAAATAGTGAATTTTGGTTCAATAGACGTCATGGCACCAAGCAAAGAAGTTTCATGGTTGGTCAGTCGGTACTGGTTCGTGATTACATACGGAGAGATCGCCCATGGGTTTCTGGAGTGATCGTTGGAAGAAAAGGCCAAGTCATTTACAAGGTCAAGGTTGGAGACCTTATTTGGGTCAGGCATGCCAATCAAATAAGAAATAGACTAGTTGGTAAACAGTTGAACGATTCCAAGTCCGCCGACGTACAATTTGAGCTATTGATAGATACGACGGATCCGAAAACGTCACATGGCCAAAATAGTCGAAACAAAGGCAAAGTGTCCCAGCAGCCAAGGAGATCACAACGACAACCAAGACCGCCAAAGTACCTACAAGTGATTCCGCGATACAAAAGCTACCGGTAGCCCTATCTTAAAAGGGGAGGTGTTAGGAAGAGGCAAAACACATGCAATTATCAAGTTATTATCATGTCGTTGACATGCATTTGTTTCTGCTTTCTGATTGGACGCTTGCACAATCCCAAACTCTCAACCGGGTTGTTTTATTTCCAGTCTACCCTATTTTTGCATAAATACAGTCAGTTTTGTCATAATAAAAGGTATCTTGTTTTACAGCTGATTATCGCGAGTTCTGGTTTACCAGTTAAGTGGGCACTGGTCAGTAGTTAAGCAGTCACCTCGTGACAAAGATCCAGTATCATAACAGATAGGCTGGTTTGGCATTCGCCAGCCGACTTACTCCTTCTTCGCTGGCTTAGTGGACGTTATATCTGGCTGTCGACCAAAAGGGCCGGGAGTACTATTCACCACTTCGTTCTGTTCTCCTTTATGGCTGTGAGTGAGATATGGCCATTGAAAGTGGAACATATGAAAAGACTAGCTGTCTTTGATCATAGGTGCCTGTCTGCGTTCTATCTCCCATGTCAGCTGGTGAGCAATATTCTAGTTAGGCATCAGTCCAGTGCTAGAAGGTAAGGAGGAGGAGCATCCAATATCATTAGAGGAAGGGTCTTACAGTTCCTGAAAAGGACATTCCCTACTGAATCGTTGAGAAGAGCGTCTCTCAGTCGAATATTACTGTCCAATAACCTGAAGGACAAGATCCCGCAGTTGATCAACTCTATGTGTGTTTATCAATTCACCTGCTCATGTGGAGCTAGGTATATCGGTCGTTCGACTAAAGTTTTGTCCAAGAGGGTGCAAGAACCACTAGCCTGCATGGTGGTTACAAAGAGGTGGAAGTGGAGCTATAAGAAGTGCGACCATCGAACATCTGGTCGATAATGATCACCCTATCTCTACAGCCTCCGCCTTTAAAGTCATCTACAAGGCGAAGAGTAATTTGCCAAAACCGCCGCGCATCCAACTCATCTGTATTGCTAAAGCTATCTTTGACAATCGGAATAGAAAAGCCAGATCTTTGTATACGGGAAAAGCTTGTTCAACTCCTCCAACTTTGATGGTCGTAATCCCTTTATGCTAAAGTATGGTAATTCCTAATCATATTTTGGCTCTACCAACTTTCTTTTCATTTTGTCCTTTCAATTTGTATAATCTTCCTTTATTACGTCAACTGTCACTATTACTATTCTCGCTTTAAATTGTCTCCGGTATTATCTCACTCATTTCATACTTGTCATTCTAAATTATTTTCGTTTTGAAACGTTAAATTCTACGTAATCAAATTTTTGCACAAGGTTACGTAACGTTTTTTATATTTTTCTTTTATTTACCTTCTAGTCATATAATTGCACACCCCTTCCAAGTTCTATACATCCTTACAATCACAAGTATTTTAATTTTCCCTCGTCGGATATAATTTCTTAAGAAAAACCAAAAATATACGATTGTACAGCTTGATAATAAATTCGTTGTTGTAAAGAGTCTCTTTCGTTGAGTTGCTTGTTTTAATTTTCTATAATTTGCTTCAGGGAAAGGCTGGTTCACTACTTACTATACTTACTATATACTTATCACATAATTAGTTAGATTGAATTCAGACAGAGTAGCGTGTTATCATAAGTTTTTCATGTCTAGTCAAACAACTTTACCTGGAACACATATAGCATTGATAAGGATGTCTAGCACAATAATGAAACGTGTGCCAGTCAAAATACTATCCTCAATGAACAGTTTACAATGAGGATATTATTATTGCTGTCTTGGGTTGAGAGTGGACCATAATGCTTCAACAACACATAATCAGCTTTCTTCTATTTTCTACTGTCCTATTCAGCTGGGTTCATGATTGCCCAGACTCTCTCATCTCTTGCTTACACTATCTCCTACATGTCACCCTCACACTGACGACCCACTCGTCGCTTCCTATTTGGATTCCATTCGAGCAATGGCCTGTTGTGCGATGTCATTCGGTGGCCTCCTCAATGTATGCCCGATCCATCTCCATTTTTTGCCAAATATTTGTTAAGCGATCGGCTGGCTCTTGGTTGGTTTGTTCCACTGCAGAGTTTCTTGTTACTAATTCTTTTTGGACATCCATTTCTTCTCCAGTATGGAGCAAGTGAAGGGGGCAGCTGTTGATGTAAGTCTACAGCCTGTTGAAAATAATACTGTTGTGAAACGCAGTGCAAGCTCCTCATCCATATAGATGAACCTACTTGGTATTCTTGTTGAAAATGAGAATCTTGTTCCTTATGCTGAGTGAAGTAAAAGATTTCCGAACTGGTTTTAGGTTGATGACCGTTGGCCTTGACATTTTCATCCGTGCTGTCCATCTACCTGTGGTTGAAACCGTACTGGCTTCCTGGTCAGCTTGTAACAACAGAAGACAAGGGCCAGGCAACAGATCGTTTTATTATGAAAATCAACACGTATTTATATATATTTCACATACATTATTATAGCTTATGCAAGTAGAAAAAGCGCAGTCATCTGATTGGTTGCAGACAAACGCAGGCTTTTGATTGGTTGCTTCGGGATTCCTTGACAAATAGAGTTCTCTATCTGCGAATCATATTTTGCCACGTTAACTTTGCTGTGATTGGTTGTTGAATCAGCCTTGTTCATATTTTCTCACGGCCCATATTAGTGACCTAGACATTAACGTAGATTAGTGTCAACCAATCGGCTAGCAGCCTGCTCTCACCACAAGCTAATTGAAGCCAGGAAGTAATCACTGTCAAATCTCTCCCGTTGATGGTGATTGGTGCTGGTTGTTGTTGTTGTTGTTGCTGTTACTGTTGGTTGTTTGGTTATTTTCATCACCTCCGTCTCCACCTTCTCTCTGTTCCCCTGGAGTTAGTCCTGTCTCCGCTGTATTGCCTACTTCTTCAGCCACTTTGTTGGTTTTCGTCCACCCTCCTGGAATTCTTCAAGTTTGTGAGTGTGACACTAGTCATGTATCTTGATTTGACACTAGTAACTAGTGTGATGCGTCTAGTCCTCTGATTGGTGTAGACTGAATTCTATCAGTCAGGTTGTAGTGTGACCACCATTCTAGCTAGCTCGCCATCATGGTGCACATTGATTTGTTGATGGTATTAGATGGTTGGAGGCTAATCGGCATGTATCATCTTCGAAATCAAGATCTTCTTTCTTATTATCACTGTCGTCATTAAACGTACTAACAAATCAGAAATGAAAACTGGATCATCATTTCAAAATGTAAAATATACTAAAATTTTTTTGCCTTAACATATATCGACTATATTTGAAGTGCATGGGGGATTTCACCATGAGCTGACACATCAGTTAGAGAACCACTGGAAAACCTGGGAGTACTGGACAGCTGTTTCGTCCTAGTTTGGGACTCTTCATCAGCACACACCCACCGGTGTTCGAACCCAGGACCTTCTGGTTACAGGGTGAGCTCGCAGACCATTGAGCCACTGGGACTCAATCCAATGGGCAGTCCATGAATTCTAACTTCTGTCAGTTCACGACACAGCGCCACAATTTCGCAATGTCTTCTTCGATGAGTTACTGCCTCATCTTCAACCTGCTGAACCCTACTGGTCACGACTTCCCACTAGAACCCCAGGTAGCTAACTGCCTGAATAGGGCCAGTCACTAGTGAGCATCAGATTAATTTTCAAGTATCGGTTTTGTAGGGATTTTGTTTGATTGCATGGGGGATTTCACCATGAGCTGATATCAGTTAGAGAGTACGGTGAGTGAGTACTGATGAAGAGCCCCAGACTAGGACGAAATAGCTGTCCAGTACTTCCAGGTTTTCCAGTGGTTCTCTAACTGACGTCAGCTCATGATGAAATCCCCCATGCAATCAAACAGAATCCCTACAAAACCAATACTTGAAAAAATATATTTGCATTGTTTAAACGAATGTGAAATTTAAACAAATCAAAAAGAAAAAACAAATTAGAAGGCGGTCAAAACGGAAAAACTAAATCAACAAAATAAACTAACAAGAGGTGGGGGGGTATTATTTAAAATCAAATAAGGCATATTACCTTTGACTTGATCTTCTTGAATTGTGAAATCATCAATTTTGAAGGCCTGAATAAGAAGAGAACACATTGAAATAATGATGAAATAAATACACATTGTAAGAGACAATGAATAAATCTGCGTATTATTATTTTTGATTTTTGATTTACAGCTTGATTCCACACTGTATTTTTGGTACAAGTATGGAATTTTCAGCATGGATATCGGTAGCCTAAATTTTGCAGGCCGACCATAGATATCAGGTGTGCGTCGGTGCGGGCTCGAACCCCGGACCATGTGCATGGTCGGCGAGAGTCCTAACCACTGTGCCACCGACGCCCATTAAAAATTTTAATTTGAAATTTTTTGATCACGAATTGATGCCATTTAGAGAACCATTGAAAAACTGCTAGAGAGTACTGGACAGCCGGCTGTTTCGTCAGTCTAGTTTGAGACTCTTCTGGCGAACGAGTTCGTAGACTTTCCAATCACTGGAACGTAACTCTTGAATGCCATGTCTAAGCTGTTGGACTTCTCACAAGGACTTCAGGCATTGTCCTCAATACCGAGCATCAGATTAATTTTCAAGCGTTGATTTGTAGGATATACGTATAAAACTTGGGCACTGTGGTGGTAGAGTATAACTCCATTAGAGATAAGATTTTATTTTGATAAAGTGTCACACAGTGCAGTGTTATACAGTAATATTAACTGATGACCACGTTTCGAGCACAAATTATTATCACTCATATTCATATCGAGTCACTCACACAACTTTCTTGCTTCGTTTATATACATGAGTAAAAATTGATGATTAGACATTTCAATACAAATCAGTATAGGATAATGTACATTCAGAAATAATAATATGAGTGTTATTGATCAATTACAGTCAGATGAGAAATAAGACGAGTGTTTTTTATAGTCAAAATAAGTGACTTCTTAGAATGTTGTGATGTATTTGCATTGAAATAGAATTTTAAGATTATTTACTATTCTCCTCTGATTTAACTGACTGGTGGTAATAATATCTTCCATGCATATCTGTGGTATTTGCATTGAGTCATTTCCGTTGCATGTGTTGGGTGTAGACTTGATGAGCCAGGCAGGATTCAGTAATCAATCTCTCTTTCTCCACCTACCTATATTACTTCTTAGAATCTCAACCCTCTCTCACCATATTATGTGGTTGTGTGTTAATGCATGCAGTGAGATTGCTGAGTTTTCCTCTAAATTACTCATCTGTTTTCGCGGGGTCAATCATTCCAACCTTAGCCCTTAAATTCTTATGTTCTGATAATCTCATTACCCGTGATCCACTACTAGTTTGACCTATGTAATCGACCCCACTCACAGTCATTGGAAGATATTTTGTTTAATTGGGTCCACCGGGTCTTTTAGCCTACAGAGCTTGTCCTGCCTGACTGAGTTTGTAGGTTCGAAGTAAAAACTTGTGTGAGTAGTGCCTTGATATGATTATGAGCTGCAGTAATAAATTGTGCTCGAAAGGTGTGGTCATCAGTTAATATTACTGTATAACCATATTGTGTGCGTCGGTGGCACAGTGGTTAGGACTCTCGCCGACCATGCACATGGTCCGGGGTTCGAGCCCGCACCGACGCGCACCTGATATCTATGGTCGGCCTGCAAAATTTGGGCTACCGATATCTATGCTGAAAATTCCATACTTGTACCAAAAATACAGTGTGGAATCAAGCTGTAAATCAAAAATTAAAAAAAATAAATAAAATTGTGTGACTTATTGGTTTCTAGGGATTGGATTTGTGTTTTTTCAATTGTGATTACGGATTGATGTCAGTTAGCTGAGTTTAGTTTAGTTTCTGATTTTATCATTTCAGGTGAAGTGATTGCAAAACCCATGGCCTATCTCTATAGGCTGGTATGTTTTTTCCAGTGATTTTTTGTATCATTTTGGATTTATAGTGAGTTGGTTTCATGATTTTGTTTACAGTAGTGTACTGATTTCAAATACATCGTAATATTCAACGTATTGTGATTGAGAGGGCCAAAGGGGGGAGGGGAATTACTGTGATAACTAAAAAAAAGAGAGGCTTAGGGAGTGGATACGTCGCTACTATTTAAACACAGTTTAAGATTCTCCTTGTGTATGACAAAAGCTTTTTTATTCCTTTACGTTCCCAGTGGTGGAACATAGGGGGCTTCAAGCTAGAGGCTTGAAGTTTCTGTAGCAGTAGTGATTATTTTTACAGGATGTAACTGCTAGCTTCATGCCCAGCCTTCCGTCTTCGCCAGTTTTATTGCCGGTCTAGCGAGGTAAAGAAGGGCGGCGTCAGTCAGGGATCAAACCCCGGACCACCTAAGTGGTCGGCGAGCACTCTAACGCTGCGCGCCACCGACGCGCACAAAAGCTTCTGCTTGTACAAAAATTTGATGTGTTTTAGTGACTCTGAACTCTATCAATCCTAAAGGAAACTGTCTAATGTGTGAATTAATGACCTCAAGCAGCCAATCAGATGAACCTGTAGTATATAGGTGGAATTATATATGCTGTACACCAATTACACAGTAAATTTCATCCAAATTTAGTAGATAAGTACTGCTTAGACAAGAGACTCATTGGAAGGGCGAAAACGTCAACGCCAACTGTCGTTTCTGAGCTATATTCACAAAGTGGTCCATTTATGCGGACGATTTTGTTAACCTTTTCAATGAGACTCACATAGGTTCCATCGAAAGTTTCTAGAGTCACCTAAAACCGAGGGTCAGAGCGGTGAATAGATTAAGAAACATGATTATTTACAGTTATCTCGACGAATTTCAGCACAGGAATTGGTTTAATCTAACTATGAGGACTTTTATGAGGAGTTAGGAAGTTTCCTTGGAACATATACGATGAAGTTATTTTATATAACTACTTTTTAACATGGCATTATTAAAACACAAACGTTTCTTTTTAAATTACGCACTTCCACTTCGGATGCATCTGATTGGCGGGCGAAGATTTGTCAAGGTCTTTATCAGGTAGTATCGTTTTCAGCTGCTATAGTTTAGAGTCACCATGTGTTCCATCTTCATTGATTTTTTTCTCCTCTTTTCAAACTCCTAACTTAAAAAAAATATTACTTTGTACGTAATTTGAATCTCTTACTCTGATGACCTTGACGTTTTATTAATAATATTCATTTCTAAGCAATATTTATGATTTTAGATTACATAAAACTATTTAACTAAGCAATTTATTATGCCTTTTCAAGTTTCCCCACGGATTGATATCATCAGTTAGAGAGCCATTGAAAACCAACACTGGAGTACTGGACAGCCAGCTGCATCGTCAGCCTAGTTTGCGGCTCATCGGCAGTACGCACCCAACAGGGTTTCGCGCCCAGGATCTTCCGGTTACAAGGCAAGCTAGCTCGTAGACCATTCACAGCCACTGCTACTCAACTCCTCAATGACCAGCCCATGAATTCTAACTTCTATCAATTCGTGATTTTTAGCGCGGCTGTCGGCACAAGCTAGTGTCATCGCTGGCGAGTATTTGTCCTCGCTGCCGATAGGATATACCCTATCAATCACAATTTCTCACTATAACTCCAGGAAACCCTATCCTGTAGCTAGTCACTAGAGAGCATCAGATTAATTTACAAGAATTGGTTTGTAGAGCCTTCATCAAAAAAACAAACACCTTCTAGGTTACTTGTGAAAACACACATAAACAACCAATCACGTCCAAGGTCACCAGGAGGGATGATTAATAAACTCGTGGAGAAATCTAAAAGCTCACTTCAAATTGAAGTATGCACTGAAGATGTCACCCAGTAGGGTGATGAAAGCTTCGCAAATTAACCATCCAGCTCAGAGAACAAAACCACATCAAAATCATCCACCTGAGCTACAAATCTTCTCTATATCAAATCCTTACAAACCATTCCTCGGAAAGAAGTTTGAAGATATTTAGTTATTTAGGTGGGATTATTATTTGAAATATACGAATTCGAAATATATATATGAGCTGATAATCTATCTCTTTTTGGTTTCTGCCTACTTAAGTGGATAGAAGAGGGGAGATCGATTACGATTTGAATTACCTCAGGTAGTTGATCCTATATGATTTTATATTGCATGCTTACAGGAATGCAATGTTGTTATCATATGAGATATTACGTTTGACTGTTCTGAAGGTGTTTTACCAACTATTTTGTTTTGCACACCTGTAGTAATAATCTGTTATAACATCCTGCTATATTATACGCGGTGAAGTTAAAGTATCGCAATCAAAGTCAACGTGTGTCAAACGTTGACCTATAAAAGAACCAATCAGATTTGAGCGACGCTATGAAAGGTCATTCCAAATCAAGTTCTGTAGGGTAGATACAGTATTCTGTTTATTCAATAAGTACTTTTTTTGTAAGTCTATACTCGCAGGTATGGTTAGGATTAGAATTAGGGTCAGAGTTAATGGTTAGGGGGTAGATTAAAGAGCAGTGTCAGGATTGAGGATAGATCCCAAAGCACCATGACCTACTGTCATCTGGATTAATATATCTATATTGTATGGTATGGTATCTCTGTGGATTATCCTTGGAGTAATTAGCAAACATCTTTGTTGCGTGGAGGATTTATTCATGAGCTGACATCAGTTAGAGAACCACTGGAAAACCTGGGAGTACTGGACAGCTGTTTCGTCCTAGTTTGGGACTCTTCAGCAGCACATACCCACCGGTGTTTGAACCCAGGACCTTCTGGTTACAAGGAGAGCTCGCAGACCATTGAGCCACTGGGACTCAATCCAATGGGCAGTCCATGAATTCTAACTTCTGTCAGTTCACGACACAGCGTCACAATTTCGCAATGTCTTCTTTGATGAGTTACTGCCTCATCTTCAACCTGCTGTACCCTACTGGTCACGACTTCCCACTAGAACCCCAGGTAGCTAACTGCCTGAATAGGGCCAGTCACCAGTGAGCACAGATTAATTTTCATGTATTGGTTGTCAGCTCATGATTAAATCCTCCATGCAATCAAACTAAATCCATACAAAACCAATTCTTGAAAATTAATCTGTGCTCACTAGTGACTGGCCCTATTCAGGCAGTTAGCTACCTGGGGTTCTAGTGGGAAGCCGTGACCAGTAGGGTACAGCAGGTTGAAGATGAGGCAGTAACTCATCGAAGAAGACGTTGCGAAGTGGTCGCGCTATGTCGTGAATTGTCAGAAGTTAGAATTCAAGGACCACTGGATCGGGTCCCAGTGGCTCAATGGTCTACGAGCTCACCTTGTAACCAGAAGGTCCTGGGTTCGAATCCCGGTGGGTGCGTACTGATGAGGAGTCCCAAATTAGGACGAAACAGCTGTCCAGTACTCTCAGGTTTTCCAGTGGTTCTCTAACTGATGTCAGCTCATGATTAAATCCTCTATGCAATCAAACAAAATCCCTACAAAAACCAATACTTGAAAACATTTTTGTAGCAAAAAGGAGACAGGATTTTGTGACTCTCTTTGGCATTTGAGTTGTGATTGGTTGTTCAAGGTCACTGGGGTTTCGTCTGTGATAGTTTTACTTCGCTCTGTGCTTGGAAACCCCATAAGAATACTTTTAATCTCACCCAGAGGAACGAAACATTACTTATTCCAAAACAGAAACTTTACATGAACCTGAATTTCAAGGAAGACGTGGTCTGTGATATCCTTAAGAGAAAAAACATTCTTTGCAGCAACGCTAAGAGTGGTGTTCTCTAGTCGTTCATTGATCTGCAGAACCCTTAAGGACAAGATCTTTCATCTAACCACTCCTATATGTATATATCAGTTCACCTGTTGTTTTGGTGTCAGGTAAATTGGTCATTCGACGCGTATCCTGTCCATAAACATTCGAGAACACTATCCCATAGCATGGCAGTTGTGGTTGTATAAGTAGTGCGATCATCAAACACCTTGTCAACTGATATGTATCCACATATATATGTGTGTGTGTATGGTGATCTCTCTTTCTGTTTGCTCTCTTAGTCTGTGACCATTTCACTTTGATGAACCTGTCTCCTTTAACAATGTATATTCCCCTCATATTATATATAATATGAGTGTTTGTTGACAGTCCTTTGCTTGGTGACATATATCCATGTATGGTGGTTGTTGACATGTCTGCTATATTTCGCTATGTATATATGGATCGATACTTCATTATAATTAGCCATTCATGTTAAGACTGTCTATTGATTTGTTCACACACTTTGTCTGGAACATTCATATATATTTCGCATTCACAATTTGTGTGACTCACCTACTTGCTTACTTACTTTGGTGTGATACCACTTTTGCATTCTCCTTGTGTTTGGAAAATAGAAGTATTATCGCAAACCTAGTGGTCTTCTGATTTCCGCCTTCTTGTGTCAGGACTATTAGTTTCTCGAACAGTCCATAACAAAAATTTGTCGACGAGTACATAACATCAACACTAACCATTCCATCTCAACAAACGTCTCCTGCTTCAAGGTAATCTACAGAGTCAAGAATAACCTACCAAAGGCAATATGCCGTCGTCTCCTTTGAGCATTGTTAAAGCCTTAGCCATTCATTTGGAAAAAACAGAGTTATACATACAAAAGAGAATCATCCAACCACTTCTACTATCATGGCAACAGCCGTGATAGTGTGTGTCTGCTTTTATAACTCCTTATAACTCTTGTATTTCCTCACAACGCTTACATAATTCCATACATCCTAAATAGAACTGACTCATTAAACTACTCGTCTTATTACGCAACTACAATACACTTATTCAAATTTTCTTATGCACTAACTAACATTAACAACTATATTTTTTTGACAACACATCACCACTACCCCCAACTAAGTGAATTTGCCGCTGTAAAGAGACTCTTCGCTGAATTACGTGTTTTATTTTCATTAACGTCCGGATGGAGTTTATTCATGAATTACTTTAATGTGAGTTCTTCTTGTCACTTTATTCTATATCAAGAAATCTGACTTCTAGAATTTAATTAGTGGATGGTGACTAGCAGTGGAATCCAGGATAAAGTGCATTTCGTCCTATTTGGGACTAGCTCGTCAACTGGAGATACCTGCATTCCCCAGTGAGTCAGTGATGATGTTCCCACCGAGGCTCGAATCCAGTGCCCAAAGTAATATTCATTAGACCACTTGGGCCACGAGAGCCACTCCACTTTTTGTGCAACGGATCATATTAGTTATTTAATTGAATTTTAGATTTTCCCGTTGATTGATTGGACCAAAGTGCTCAGTCTCAGGTTGACATGTCAGCTTCTTGTGCAGATGCTTCGACAATGTATGGGCATGTCTCAAATAGGACGAAATGCGATTTATCCTGGTGGATTCCACTGCTAGTCACCATCCACCAATTACCTTCTAATTACATGCCCAAACATCATCGAAGCATCTGTACAAGGAGGAGCCGACATGTCAACTTGAGACTGAGCACTTCAGTGCAATCAATCAATGGACGGGAAAATTTAAAATTCAATTAAATCTGATTTCTCTTTGCCTTCACAGATTCAATCTTCTTAAATGCATGAATAATGATCGTGATTAATAAATAATTCTAGGTTGTGGGGTTTATTTTCACCTTCACAAAGTATATGTCATCTGCACCGCATGCTGTCATAGTTGATCTCGTCACCTTATCCTAGTCATTTTGCCCTAAACAATAGTAGGTTGTTCTTTCTGAGGTAAGGGAGGGTGTTTTTGTATTTTACCCGTTAACTCTACCCTGATGACGCCAGTTTGTTTTATGCACAGTTCATCTTGAAGATGTTAGAATTCAAACTTCATTTTGTTAGTGGTGGTGATGGCAAGCGGAGGAACGGAGGGGACTTTTGAAAGTTGGCACAGAATAGCCTAATTTATGTTTCTTGTCCATTAGAAGTGAAATGGATTCCCTGAATTCCATGGGCCAGGACATCATTTTATCGTTCTCTAATAGTGCCATTGTGGATGCTAAGTCGTCTCCTAATTTTGATCGAACCCAACCTTATGCATATAGTTAAAAGTCAATCTGAACGAAGAATATTCTTTTCAATACATACTTCTCCTCTTCGGGTTCTTACAATTAGAAAATATAATATAAAGGCCAGTTATGCGGCGTATACACTTTTAACGTATGATGACAGATTAGTTATAAGGTGTCAAAATAAATAAAAAAAACTTCAATAATGCTCACCCAGCGGTCCATTTCACCTACGAAGGAGAATACAAGGACTCTCTACACTTCCTCAACGTCCTACTAACGAGAAGAGAGGATGGTTCCGTTAAAAGAACCATATTTAGAAAGCTAGAGACCAAAGCTCAGTATACACACTTCCTTAGCTTCGTACCGATGAAATACAAACGTAATCTAATCAGGTGCTTAGCATTTACAGCGAGGTCTATTTGTTCCGAAGACTGTGTAGAGAAAGAACTCCAGGTCATCCTAGACATTCTAAGCGAGAATGGATATCCAGAGAAGTTCATTAAAGCCAACATAGGCTACAATAGTTGTAAACATGAACTGGAAACTGTGGAGAAAAAGCCTTTTTTTACGTCTCCAATTTAAGGGAGATACTCCTGCGGAGATTCTATCCCAACGTTTAACCAGGGCGATCAAGAAAACTTTCTACTCCGCACATCTGTATCTATCCTTCACTAGCCGTCCAATGTTAACCCAGCAACTCAAAAATGTCTTGCACTAACCTTAGCTCTTCTTCATGTACATACCAACCATTTCAACTGTTCCTGTGGTTCAAGTTATATAGGGCGCATGATTAGGCAGGTTCGTCAACGGGTTCGAGAACATTTAGCAGCTTAGTTCAGCGGGGGGAAAATTAAGTGCATAAAAAGCTCGATCCTGTCACACTTGGTCGATACTGGACATCGTATCGATGTCAACACAGTTTTGAGGGTTACATACCGAATTCCGAAGTGGTTATCACGTACAGTTCGCCTACGTCTCCTACACATAGCTGAAGCTGTTGCAATAAGATCGACTAAACCGGAACTTAGTATCCAAAAAGAACACGTCCACACGCTCTTCCTACTGTGGCCAAACTTGGATTCATGATTTTTCTTCTCACCAAGAGTGTTCCTTCGATTCGACCCTCTTGGTTTTTTTTTTACTTTGCCTATTGTTGCAAACATTATTATTACAATTATTATCATTATTCGTCATAATTTATGCCCTCTATGCAAACATTCCCTCAATACTATCGAATTTTTCATTTATACTATCCGGACTTATTACTATTAGTGATATTATCTCTTTTCTCAATATATGCCTCCACCTGTTTCATATCACACATTCGTCATTTCATTGTCGCAGTCTTACTATCTCCTTCTGTTTAATGCATTCCACTTTGTACTAGCCACTCACCTGACACCTTCTATAACCTTGAACTGATGTGTCAATTTTCCTACCCCACACTCTACAAATCTATTATATGATTAATCACCACCATTGTCTCCCGTTTTACAATATTTTCTAATCGATTTCAGCCTAGCAGGTTTGTCACACATATATGACTATTTAATTTGACACTCCATAACTGCTAATCTGTTATTCTACGTTAAAAATGTATCCGCCTCATATATAACTGGCCTTTATTGTAACGACCACAAATATATTCTATTTTCTAATTGTAAGAACCTGAAGAGGAGAAGGATGTATTGAAAAGAATATTCTTCGTTCAGATTGACTTTTAATTCTTAATATGGGAATATTTCAGACGATCAAATTTTATACCTAGACAGATATTGAACACTGAGGCTAAAAACACACTTTATGCAGGTAAGATAACAATAATTGAGAATTTGAAGCTATCTATCTAAGCTCTTAGAACGTGCGAAAAATGATATCACATCGCACTGTATTTACCAGTTTCAATGTACGTGTGGACACACATACATAGAAGGGAGGACTCATCGATCTCTGCAAGTAAGCGCTGACTTCAGAGCATATTCCTAAATAGCTCCAGAAACAAATAGAATCCCCAGAACCCATTAATGGTGAGAACAAACGATGACCTAGCTCCTCTATATTGTGAAACATATTACAGAGAAGAGACGACATAAAATTATTGTTTCCACACATCTTTTAAACCAATCTGTAAAAAGTGTTTGAGGGAGGGCGTATCCTAAAGTTTGTGGAAGCCCTAACTGGCAATTAAGAAGTTTAAACAACCTTTTTATGCACTCAAAGCAACAATTCGTCATCACATTAAACCACCTTCGTTGGTAAACTTTGTTTTGATACCAAACAGGGTAGATGTATGGTATTCCCTACCTTCTTTGGTTTAGCGATCTTCATTGTTAATTTGGCCTTCAGTATGTCCTTTTGACCTGACTTAAGTCTAGTTTCTCACCTCTTAACTATTTATTGAACTGAATTTTTGATTTTCCCGTCGATTGATTGGACCGAAGTGCTCGGTCTCAGGTTGACATGTCGGCTTCTTGTGCAGATGCTTCGACGATGTCTGGGTATTTAATTAGTATACAATTGGTGGATGGTGGCTAGCAGTGGAATCCAGGATGCGCATTTCGTCCTATTTGGGACTCGTCAGCTGGATGTACCTGCATTTCTCAGTGAGTGATGATGTTCCCACTGAGGCTCGAACCCAGTACCCATAGTTTCAAACGCCAAAGCGTCAGTGGGAACATCATCACTCACTGAGAAATGCAGGTACATCCAGCTGACGAGTCCCAAATAGGACGAAATGCGATTTATCCTGGTGGATTCCACTGCTAGTCACCATCCACCTTCTAATTACATTCCCAAACATCATCGAAGCATCTGTACAAGGAGGAGCTGACATGTCAACCTGAGACCGAGCACTTCAGTGCAATCAATCAATGGACGGGAAAATTTAAAATTCAATTAAATCTGATTTCTCTTTGCCTTCACAGATTCAATCTTCTTAAATGCATGAATAATGATCGTGATTAATAAATAATTCTAGGTTGTGGGGTTTATTTTCACCTTCACAAAGTATATGTCGTCTGCACCGCATGCTGTCATAGTTGATCTCGTCACCTTATCCTAGTCATTTTGCCCTAAACAATAGTAGGTTGTTCTTTCTGAGGTAAGGGAGGGTGTTTTTGTATTTTACCCGTTAACTCTACCCTGATGACGCCAGTTTCTTTTATGCACAGTTCATCTTGAAGATGTTAGAATTCAAACTTCATTTTGTTAGTGGTGGTAGGTGCAAGCGTAGGAACGGAGGGGACTTTTGAAAGTTGGCACAGAATAGGCTAATTTATGTTTCTTGTCCATTAGAAGTGAAATGGATTCACTGAATTCCATAGGCCAGGAAATTATTTTATCGTTCTCTAATAGTGCCATTGTGGATGCTAAGTCGTCTCCTAATTTTGATCGAACCCAACCTTATACATATAGTTAAAAGTCAATCTGAACGAAGAATATTCTTTTCAATAATTTCTCCT